AATTACATTCGGTACAACTGTTAAATTTGAAAAGAAAATTGAAAACTGATTTTTCGCAGGCCTGTATAAATACATGATTGTTAAATCTCCTTTTTTTAATTTACAGAAATAATTAGCCATTGAAATATCAAAAATTAAAAATGCGCGATATCATTTGCGTCCTCATCCTTATATGTACGGTGGTTGTGACAGCGAAAAAAATGGATGAAATTCACAAGTGGAAATTCATTGACTTTGACTGGCCATCCGAGATGGACAGGAACAACGCTATAAAATCTGGAAAATATAAACATACAGCAGTTGTTCCCATGGACGTCGATAGAGATCAAGGTTAACTAATACATGTGATTATTATTGAAATTTAAGGACAGAATTTAAAAATTACTCATGTACACCTTTTTCAAATGGATTTTCTAACTATTTTTTATTAGCTGGTCGACTTTTCGTGACATTCTTTGGTGAAGCAGGAGTACCCGCAACCTTAGGTATAGTAACTAATAAGACTAGACCTTGGGGACCTCTGGTCAGACCCTATCCTGACTGGTCGTGGTTCAAAATTGGCGATTGCAAGTACATACAGAGTGTCTACAGAATTGCGGTAGTTGGCTGTGCACATTACCTAAGTTACTTAAACAAAAAGTATACGAACTGTCAAAATATTTTTTTTCTTTTTCTTTTAGATTGACAAGTGCAACAGATTGTGGGTTCTTGATACTGGATTTGTAGAAAATAGTCCAAAGTCAACTTACTGCCAGGCTCAGCTGATAGCATTTGACCTAAATACCGATAAGCACATCAAAACCATCAAAATTCCCAATAAACTTGCGAGAGACAACACCGACGACACATTACTTGGAAACCCAATAGTTGAAACTGAGGGACTCCATTGCGAAAAAACTACCGTGACTATACTATTTTCTAAACATTTTTTCAGACTACATCCAAAACATTCAATACCGTTTGTTACTATAGGTATACATGGCCAACGTGATCGGAAGATTGATCATTTACAACGGCAAAGACGTTTGGGCTCTGAACCATACAACCTTCCAGCTGGATCCTAATGCTACAATAGTGAGGACAGGAAAATCTAATATTACATGGGAAGTCGGTATCCTCGGCATGGCCCTCTCACCTCGGGTGTACCCTGATGAACCAAAATACTTGTACTACCGTTCACTCAGCTCTTTTGGTTTATATGCTGCCGAGACCAATGAACTGAGACATAGTATTAATAACGGGCACGTTAATTATTTTGGGGTGGACCATGTTCTTTCCAATCATGCTGCAGGCATGGCGTTCTCGAGCCAGGGCACGCTTTTCTTTGGATTGGCGAATGAGTATTCGATAGCGTGCTACAATCGATACAGGGAACTGAGTAAAAAAAATATCGTAAGTTTGTACAATTTGACGAAATGCACTGTAGTTGTTAACTTAGTTCTGATTTTTTTTAAGCATTGATATTTAAATTATTGTTCTTTACTCTTTTTAGGTGACTCTTGTTAAAGACAAAAAACGACTCGTGTATCTTAATGGTGTCAAAGTAATCAGACCATCTTTAAATCACCCAGAAGAAGAGCTATTGGTGCTATCCAACAATTTGATTGCAGAGCAATCAGCTCCCAAGATATTTATGCAGACCAATGATACCAAATTCCGAGTTTTAAGCGGCGTCGTTACAAATCTTATCAAAAACACAATTTGCGATTTACCTGATCACATATAATGACTAAAATATGTCATGTTATAACTTAGCTCATGAAATAATCTGAATTCAAAGAATTTAGTCAAACATTCGTCATTAAACTATAGGATTTCAGTTGTGATCTCAGTGTAGTTGTTTTTAAAACTATTAAAGTTTATCGTATGAATGTAAAATAACGTTGTACCTTGTACCTCGTTGTAGAATTTAACTCACATCGTCAAGTAAATTTATTCTTTTAAAACATAAAAGTGTTGTACGCCTTATGACAAGTTTTTAACATGTAATAGAAAATACAAATAAAACGCGTTGTTTAATTAGAAGCAACTTTAAGCAAAATACTATTGTTTTTTATTTACAGCAAAAGCAACAAACAAATAACTGTAAATAAAAAAAATGTTTGTGTACATTAATTAAAATTAAAATTAAATTAAAACACGTACTTTGAATTAACAGCCATTTTTATTTGTTTGCCATAACATACAATTTGTCACATCCGCATTTAATATGAAATGAGAATTTTTCCTGTAAACACTGACAATAAAGTCACAAAATTAAAGGTCGAGAAATTGTAAATACATCAACGCTCTAGTATCCGTAGGTTAGTGAACTGTAAGTAAATAATAACCCAGAACCATGTGACACTGTGACGAAATTCAAATGGAATGGCATTAATTGCTACCAGAGATTCCTTAACGTATAATTAAAATCTGAAATTCATCACAAATGCTCTTGAGAGATAGTTATATAATATGGTTGAAAAAATTTTTTTTTTAAGACAAATTTGACCACTTTCTTCTGACTAAGCTAACGTTTGTTTCATATATTTATTTATAAATTTACGATGTTTACTGCAAAAAGTCATTTCTTTAACCTAATACAATAAAACATCACGCTAAAACCACCTTCAGTTCAAATTGAATAAAATTAAAATACTCAATGGTAAAGATTTTCATTAAGAATGACAGATACTCTTCTCAATCGAAATGAAAAACGTATCATGAATATTGTATTTAATTTTATGTTAAATTCTTTTCAATTTTATTAAATAAGCTCAACTATTTGAACATATTCATCTTTTTAAACATTTTTTGTACTGGCAACGTTTCTTCACAAACCTGAAACATTAAAAGTACAATTATTATATATTTTTTATTTCATATTTAATTACAGGCACGTCTACGTATATATTTGTAATTTTAATATAAAACGTGATATAGACTATTATTGTCCCAAGTACAGTATGTTTTAAGTTTTTTTTTATTTAACATTATTAAGTATAAAAATGTTTTTTTTTGGTACCCTAAATTTAACAAATTATGTAGGTGCTAATTTTTCACGGTTTTAAGCCTCGTATGTGTAGGACATTAGGAGAAAAGTTATTAAATGAAAGAGGGTTCACCATTCATTCAATATAAATGATCTCTAAATTAATTTCTTCATGACAAAAATAAATTCTAGTAAGTTGTTCATAATTTAAGTCAAAGGAGAAATCAAGCGAACTAATTCTCACAAAAGAATTAATTTGATCCGCAGATTAATTTCTCTCAAATAAAATTTATGTACATTAAAGCTATACATATACCAATAACCAATCGTTCCAATCTTGCGTCATGTCATTGAACAGCTCAAACATTTCTGAGCTTAATTAAATAGAAGACGGCGAATAATTATTTTTCATTTTACGAACTGTCTTATTGAATCTGATACAATTGTATCCATCCGTAGTTACTTACTTAAGATATTGAGTGTGTAGCTCTTGACAAAGAATTTTAAGAATAGTCATATTTAATAAGTTAAACGTCACAGGATTACAAAAAAGTTATTATTTTTGGTATATTTTGTTTAACACTTAATTCTTCATGACATCAAACATTATAAAATGATAAGTTTTCGCGATTCACAAACTTTTACTGCAGCTTTTACTTTTTTTGCGTTGCATTGGCTATGATCAAAACATGTTATTTTGAAACTCTTTTTTATAATTTCATCGATTTAAAAAGTGAAAGCAGTCATTGAGTTCAGAATTACTAGTTTAATGCCTTGTGTTTTTTTTTCTCAATAAAAACTCTGTATTAGGCTACATGTTTTAACTCATTTTTATAATAATAATCATGTATACAAAACGAGTTTCTTATCAATGGTATAATTATAAAGAAATGTTTTAAAAACATGTTACTCCATTGGTGTATTTCTTATCTCAGCTCTTTCTGTTTGAACCTTTACACTGTCTGTTGCCTAATGAGTGTTGACTCAAGTGAGAGAATCAATAATCTCGTTTTCGTGCGAATCACCATTTAAAAATTGTTCCACACACTTTGAGGTTCAATTTCTGTGCATCTGATTTACAAGCGGACTATCAGACAGTTTGCCCGAGACTTCGTTTCTTCACGATGAAATGAAAGATTAAAATAACAAGAGCGTACAATTCATAAAGACCAGGAAAGGCGTGGTAGACTTCATATAAAAGAGCACTCTACCAAATACATATCAGGATTGCTGGGGTTGGATTTTTTTTTTGTTTGAACAAATGTTTCGTTCCCAAAAAACATGAGCCGATAAAGTATGCTAGCAAGTTGCTTACAACTAAAGCTATTATCGTTTCGAAAATACCCAACCAGACTACTTTCAACTGAAGAGGCGATACTTGTCGAGCGTCAGAAGCAAGATCTACGTAAGTTAAGAAAGAAAAATAATTTTTTTTTGTTCGTTACTTATAAGCCATCTATACATAGTTTGCCCATTTTGAATAACTTTTGCGTTAATTAAAAAAGTTTAAATTTTCACCAGTTTATTGATTAGAAATATAAATAATATTCACATGATAAAATTGTAGATACTGCAAAATTATAATACATACGATATCTTGGTGAATTAAAAAAAAAGTGCTTGCCGCAATTCAAAACAAACATAATGGATATTACGAGAACTCCTATAAATCACGTAACTAAATTTAAGAGAAAACCCCAGATTTTTGTTTGATCATTTAAATATAGAAAAGATGAATCATTATTCATGGTGGTGTTACAAAATCGCTTTGATAAGAGGATTTTTAAGATCTTAATTAAATTCCAAGCACTTTTAAGTGAACGTAATATGTAAACTCGACACCTAAAGATTGTATTTTTTTTGTACTGCCAATCCTTTCGTAAATACCGACTTATATAAAAACACTTAAAAATGAAAATTTTTTCGATAGTTGAGAGCGAGAGTAGATTGACGTAAAGTGTACTGTTATCATATATATTTTTACAGTTGGAATAAAACTAAAGCTATTTAAATCTATTGAAAAGTGAAAATGAAAGTGATTGCATTTGTCTTCGTGATTGCAACCACATTGGTTTTGGCAGCGGGACAATTAAATACAGTACACGAATGGAATTACATAGACTACCTATGGCCCAACGAAAGTATAAAAATGAATGCTTTTGAGTCTGGAAGATACATTTTTGATAGAGTCGTCCCAATGGACGTAGATGTGGATAAAGGTAATCAAATCGTATTTTTGTACGGAAGTATCAAAATTAAAATTCACGCTGTAACATAAAATATTTTTTTACTTTTCGTTAGATGGTCGGATTTTCCTATCGTTCTTAGGAGCTGAAGGTGTGCCCGCGACGCTGGGCACAGTCAGTTCGGTAGTGGTGGATTCGGGACCTTTGATACAACCGTATCCCGATTGGTCTTGGTTTGATCCTGACAACTGCAACACCATACAAAATGTCTACAGGATTGCGGTAGATAACAAAGGAAAATTATCTAAGCCCCTCCTAGAAAGTTGGAGCACTGATGTATTGTATCTTTTTTTCTACAGATAGACGAATGCAATAGATTGTGGGTCTTAGATACTGGATTCCTCGAAGGTAAACCGATGAAATGCCAAGCCAAACTCTTACTATTTGATCTCACCAATGACCAACACCTCGGAACCATCATAATACCCGATAAAATCGCAAAAAACAAAGATGGAGTCACATTACTCGCAAATCCAGTTGTTGAAACCGACGGCTTAAATTGCAAAAAGACTACGGTGACTGACTATTCTTAGCATTTCTGTTCGCAAAACTTATAAAAATCTACACTTGGACAATGTGCTATCAATTTCTTCTTAATCAGGTTTACGTCGCTGATACGCTTGGCAATTCTCTGGTAATAGTAGACCTTGGCTCGAACAAGAACCTCATGTGGCGTTTGGACAATCCAGCCTTCGGTCCAGATCCCAATGCTGCGAACTTTGTCTCGGGAAATGACACTGCCACGTTTATGGGTGGCGTCCTCGGTCTAGCCGTCTCACCCAAGATATTTCCTAACGAAGGCAGATTATTGTACTTTCGGTCCCTGGCTTCCTGGGGCTTATCAGCAATGTCCACTGAATCTCTCAAACAAACCATTTACGGCCACTCTGTAAAATTCGAGACGAGAAATGACATATTACCCAGTCAAGCTATCGCTATGGCGTTTTCAAGTCAGGGCACGTTGTTTTTCGGAATAACAGGAAGGGACGCTATAGGATGTTGGAACAGGTATAGGCTGCTGAGTCGAGATGTGCTGGTGAGTACTCAATCATTTTTTTCTATCGTGAAAATATTTAAAATTTTACTTCGTCGTAGTAATAAATATGAAGCAGTTAATTGGAATACCATGAGCTTAGTTATTTATTTGCACATGATAAAAAAATACGTTTTACTAATAACTTTGCCGTACACAAAAAGTACATTGACTCACTTGAAATGAGTTCTGTCACATAACGAAAATACCATTTCACACATCTTATGATATATATTGAGGAGCCATTTGAATGATTTATTCATGTTCTCCCGTCAAATATATTGAATTGAATGATTAGCGCATTTTTCAAGGAATTCCTTTGGAATGTGAATTTATTTTACACTTAAGCATCCAAGATTACAACTATTTCAGAGTAACTGGAGCACAATTTAAATATTTCAAAATACATTAAATACACTTACGAGTATGAAAAAAAAAAAAAAAAAAAAAAAACCAGAAAATGTTGTATCCTTTTTTTTCTTATTCCAGAAAACGATAGCTGAGGACCACGAGCAGCTTCAATACCTCAACGGTGTCAAGGTGATCAGACCATCGTCAACTCATCCGGCAGAAGAGCTGTGGGTACTCTCAAATCGTTTTCTGGGATACGTGCAAGGTACACTGAATCCCAGGAACAGTAATTTCCGAATCATGAAAGCTCCGGTCCAAGATCTCGTTAATAATACCGTATGTGATATGCCATCCAATCTCAAGGCTAAGCTTCCACGGTAAAGACGGACACACTTTAACTCCCGTAGCTAGATACCAATAGCACGATGGCTGTATCAAATTGTCATTTTTGTTTGTTAATATTGTACAAAAAAATTAGGACAGCTCTTTTCTTTTCATTAGATGTACCAAGTAAGTATGATAATAAATATAATATTTTGGACACTTGAATAAAATATCCTTCAATTGAATATTAATACGATTATCATTACTGCAGTGAAATCAATAATCATCGCTATTATTTTCAACACTTTGTAAACCTATCGTTTGTAATTTCTGCCATAAAAGCTCTCTTACGGCCTGAAAATCGACCGTTTCAACCGTTACAATTGTTTGACTACCGTAAATTAAACTGTTCAATAACTAAAAAAATATTTTCCCAGAATAATTCGTACGTTAAAGCACATCAGTGGCACTGAAAGTGCTCTTCAAATCATAACAAGCCGTTTTTACGAGTTGCACAAGCTCTTTTCTTCTTCTCCACTCAACGGAAAGTCAACACTGAAGTATCATCCAATATTTAACCACTTTGTTGACAAAGTTTTACGGATTTTCTCAAAAAAAAGAAAGAAAAAAAACCAACATCGTTTCCTCACCCGATCAATCCCGCGAATTTTTCGCGACACGTACACAGGCATGAACGTACGTGTCAATAAAACGGCACGAGCTGACCGACAGTCACAGTCGCGTTCTCGCGAGCTACCGTGCATGCGCGCAAAAAAAAAAAAAAAAAAAAATGAATTATACATCCAGATACAGGAGAGCACGGCAAAGTGAAAGGCGGACTCGTGGCTCTTGAGAACACATCGACGTGTATATACTAAATTACACACTTAGACACACACACAAACTCGAATACAAGGACTGACAGATAGACGTGTACAAGTACTCCACCAGTAGGGAAAAAGAGAGTCTCGTTTTCCTTTTTTTTTCTTTTTTTTATCCTCTCCATACCGTGGCTTCCTCATCCCATCGCTATGTGTGTAACGGGGGGGTCACGCCAGAAAGAGACGAGGTACAAATAAAGCACTCGCGAGTTCTTCCCAGTTTTCTCCTTAACGCTAACGTAAGTGCACCTGTTTTACGTAAGCAGGGGGTGAAAATGCGGATACAAAAAAAAAAAGCCTGAGCGATTCGCACAGTGTCTTTGGCATCGAGAGTAGTCCACAGCGGGCATGTGCACGTGTCCGAGCGGTCACGTTTGTGCATCCACTGGAATTCACGAGCTCGATGAAAACCTATACCATTATGGGACTGGTCAAACACGTACACGATCGTTGGTTGCGAATGCAACTCGCTACCAATTTAGGGTTTGGTCAAACCACGAGGTGTACCTACGTACAAAAAAATGTGTGTCCACGATCACCAGCTTTGTTGAAGATTTTTCTTATTCTTACGGTATCGGGAGTTAATTCGTTGCAGAGATATGACAAAGCGAGCACGATCGCTCGGCTGGAGTTTGGAGAGGCTCTTTTCGTTGAGCGGGAGTGTCGTGTGTACACGAGATTACGGAGATAACGCGTCGCGTACGCTGGTATCGGCGACCGCGATAGGGAGCAGGAAACTGAGCCGAGAACGAATTTTCATCGAGAAACCGATCGTTCGCGAGAGATAGCGCGTATACTGTTGTATCCGTGAGGCGCGTTTCGAAAGCGAGGTAGTGTATGGGCGCGCACAAAATCGGCTTGATGGACAAAGACAACAAAAAGTAGCGATGGAAAAAGAAAGAGTATCGCAGATAAGCGGACCTTCGATCTAGACAATGCGCAACAATGTGTATAATATCGGGGGACCACCTATGGTGGTGGAGGAAAATATGAGCTTGCGCACAAATCGGCGAATGAATATCGATTCGGACAGAAGACCCGTACGAACCGGATACGAGAGCGATCTTTTCCATCGTTGGTTGATCGCCTGTACCGTGTGAACTGGAGAAGGTGTCCAAGTGTCGGTTGCGTGAACTAAATCTCGAAAGGTGTTGATACGCATACAATTATCCAATCGACGATCAAAAGATCCTATCGATGTTTTCTTTCGATCTGTACAAAATATCATGAAGGTCAATCAATTGCGTCAAAAAAACATTGAAATAAAAGAGCTTGGAGCGTGGAGTAAAGTAAACTTTGCATCAAGGTTTGTCACACACTCCCTTTTTCATACGAAGTAAGGTCAAAGGTTCGTTACAAAGATTGGATTATCGATGGACCACGACGGGCGTTAGGGAAGTATCATCGATATACCACTTGAAACCTGTCGTATAACATATAGGGACACGCGCACGGCGGCAGAGATTGAAGGGGGTCAGTAAACCGAGAGCCACAAACTGGGGCATGGTCATCGCCACACAGCCAAAGCTGCGAGGACCCGCGAGAACGACGCGGTGCAGTTTGCTTTCTCCGCTGCCGGCACTGCGTTGGCACTATATGTGTAATACCACTTGATAGTAGCCACATATAGTATACCTAATAGCAACATCGGCCACGCCGCGCACGTACCACAACGCGAAAGCCACTCCCGACCGGCCGATCTATAGCCATCTAACCTTGAAACAATCTCTCTCTCTCTCTCTCTAGGATCCGTAAACTATTTGTTTTTTCTAGAACTTCTTTTTTATTCTTTGCACTATATTCAATTGGTTTCGGCACTCCAAAACCGTAGAATGCCCGTACGGATATACATCATGGGCACGGATTATGAGCGTATACGTGCAACAAAAGAGAGCAGAGCATTAATCGGTCACGCGGGAGTCGATGGGGGGGGGGGATTAATAATCAACCGGTCGGCAAGCCGGGCGTCCCTACCGAACGTACAGCGAGCCATGGGACGAGGCGCGGTGAAAGCAGTGTAAGCCTCGTGGCTCGTATACACACGCAGTTGCGTAAATTACGAGACGAGCCGAGGATTATCCAATTTACGAGAGGAGGAGGACCGAACTAAGTCCTTTAACGACGGGGGCGCGCGTGTGTATTCATGTTTTTGAAAACCCGTTTTATTATTAATAATGGGAGCGTTGGTCGGTTGTTCCTTATACTTTCGTTGATCGGTGTGTATATACGCAGGCGATTAACGATTGGGGGGGGGGTCGATATTGCGATTTGCATCGATTGCCCGCTCCGTTCCCGGCTTTGTTCAACAATCGGTCGTGTGTTTGCGCTGGTAATGAGATTCAACCCTCCCCCTCCGGGGAGCCACTTGGCGTGATAATGTTCGCACGTGCTTGTTTATTATTTCCATCGCTTTGCTCTGTGTGTGTGTGTCTCTTTTTTTCCGCGTCTCTCGTATTTTTGGAAAGTTCGGTTAATTAATGTTATCGTCGTTGTAATAACTTTGAGGGACGGGCGTTGCGTTTGGTTGGTCGGTCGGCTGTGGGTGTGCGCAAACAGTGTAACGGGTGTGTGTGTGTGTGTGTGTGTGTGTACAACCTTGTTATGATTTTCGCGGACATGTTTATCAATGCGGGTGCGTGTGGTGGGAAGTTTTCGAATGCCTCTTTTGACACAACAGATTGTTTATGGTTTTTTTTTTTTTTTTTTTTTTTCTACCTTTGTTAGGTATCGTTGACGCATCGGATTGTGAGTCGGAAGGTCTGGGTGTTTTTTTGAATAAATTTGTTTCTGACAAATATCATTAGTGGACGTTGAACTCGGAGTAAAACGATAAGAAGTGTTTTAGAGCTTTCACATAACTCGGACAAGTAATCTCTTTTCTGTGCTTCGGTCGACTTGCGTATTACGTAATGATGCTGATTTCAAAACTTACTGTCAAAAGAAATAAAATTGTATGAAGATTTGCTACTAGGGCTGCAGAAGAGGTGATTCGTATCTGAAACAATTATTCTGTGATTATTCTATGTAGATCTTGACTATTACAATATCCACAAATTATCTAAAAGCAACTATTTTATGATTTAGAAGTGAATTGATCAACTAATTCATAATTTTTTCTGAAGCAAGTCAATATCAGTGATTCTGATACTTTTAACGTTTTAATCAAGATATCGGAAGTGAAGACAATATAAAAACAAAAACTACGATTGTGTGACGCATGCCATTCTTGTAACGTGTCCCGTGGTAGTTGATGGCAGTGTCTGCGTTAAGTGGAGTCAGTATACATCAAAATTTTGGAATGTTTATTTGAATTTTTTTGTTTTGTATGACATAAAAAATATCAATACTTGCGTCGTCTGTTTTTGTACCGCGTTTATTTACAGATGATACCTCGGTTACCATCATTTCAAAATTTTTTTTTGAGCAATTAAACAGTCCTCACTCGAAAACAAAATGAATCGTTTATCACAATAAGTGAAAAATGATTACTTTGGTAAAAGACAAATTGAGAAAATAATATGTATTTTGTTAATCTAACAAAATTTTCTTAACATTTATTTTTTGTCGAAAATATTATTCTTTAGAATTTTTCCATAACAACATTCGTTTTTTTTCACATAAATACACACACAACTAACGGATTAATTGTTTTTTAACACCTTGGCAGAGCCTATAATAAAACGTAACGTTTAAGACTCGATTTGTTGTGAAAATAATCATTTGCAAAAGGACAGCAACGATCGTTTTCAATTACTCAGAAGATAAAGTTGACGAGCAATAATTTCAACACAGATTTCTCACAGCTTCTGCTCGTCTTGGAAGTACCCTGAAACAATATTTGAATACATCTTAGGATTGCTCTTAACGCTCGATACACGCGATTATTTTCTCCTTGAATTGTAATTAACGGGCTTGTTAAATTTCAATTAGAGAAAAAAAAAAAAAAATACGTTTGATTGACTATACTCAGGAAATATTAACAACACACTTTTCTTTCATCTCTTGTCTGCGCACACGGCCCATTAAAGCTTTTTTTCCCCATAAATCATTGAATTCACAATCACCCGGAGTAAACCCCTCACTGCTGAGAATCACACTAGGCGCCGACTCAACATGCACCCCTGCATCAACTGTTATTATTGCATTCAAATGAACTGCCAGCCTTTGCGCTCATTTTACGTGCACCCGAGTCATTATGCAACGATAAAAATAATAGTGCCAACGACCTAGGCGCTTAGCCAATACGACACACCTGTAGCGTAGAGTCGAAAAATTTCGAAACTTTCCCACCACCCGACGAAAGTGAAAAAAAAAAAAAAAACAAAGTGACGAGAAGCGACAGTATAGGAGAAAGACCACTGGAAATTTCTCCTTTCGTGGCAACCGCGGGCCTTTTCACAGTGCCAAAAGGAAAACGGATGAAGAAAAGCCACCCGGGAAAGGGTTATTCCCGGCGCTGCAGTTGGCCGAGACAGCCAAGTCAGTCGGGAGGAGAAAGGACCCCGGGAAGGAGACTCGCTCGCTCTCTATCGTGTAATGCTCGCGGTGCGCACTTTCACGAGGCCGGCGTCGTGTGGGCGCTAATGCCCCTTCCCCGGCTGTCCGCGGCTCTCCCTCGCCTCGGAAATCTTAGACCCGCGCTCGGCGTTGCGCCGCATTGATAACGCGCGGCTCGTGTCGGCTGCCTATCCGGACTATCTCCTGTGGTCGGCCGTGGTGAGGACTAGTGCGAGGACCGTACACTCGAAAATGTCCAGGCGCGAGTACTTTGCGTTGGTTGTTTGAAAGTGCGTGTCTTTTTTTTTTTTTTTTTTGTTTGCTTCCTTTCTACGCGTATAAACATTATTGTTGGTGAAAACAATCCAAGGTACAACGGAGGAAAAAAAAAATGTGAGACTCGCGTTTCAGTTGATTTTTCGCCGCTGAATAGAGACTGTGCGAGTGTGACGGTACAACGAGCGATAAAAGGAGGAAGAAAAGAGAGGAAAAAAGGATGATGCACCTGCTGGTGCTGTGGATCTTGGCTCCGGTGGTGCTGGCCGAGCTGCAGACCGTTTATGAGTGGAAGTACCTGGATTTTTTGTGGGAGTCCGAGGAGCACAGGAGGAACGCCGTCGACTCGGGCGAGTACAACTTCTCGAGGATAGTGCCCTCGGACCTGGCGGTCGCTAAGGGTAGGCTACACTGTTTTGTCTTTTTCCTATGCACCCCGTTAATTTCTGTGAGGGAATATATCTGTCCACTTATAAATGAGTTGTGAGTCCGTTGGAGCGAGAGAAAACAAGTCTCCGAAGTTGGAGAAAAAGTTTCTGGACTGTGTGAAATCCGTCCCTCTTTGTGGCCAGGAAAAAAGTCTCTCAGCAAAAAAAAGTGTACCGTTAACGGAACATCATGTATTTTACTCACTTTAAAAAGTACACGATACAATATTATTTCCTAGTTGTCTTTGTTGACGACTGAAGCTATTTTTTCCTGCAAGTAAAACCAAGTATCTTTTTCCATGCAGTAACGGACTTTTTTACGCATCACGAGGAGGGATGTGTTGTCTCTCTGGTAAAAGACTTTTTTCCCCCACTTTGAATGATTTTTTTCTCATTTCCTAGCGCACTATAATTAGTACAAAGTCACCCATAGACATTCAGAGAGTAGAGCCGCTGTCAGTTGGTTCTCGTGGGTGTTCCAGTTTCGGGACACACGAGCTAGACAAAAAAAAAAAAAAAAAGAAAAGCTTTTTAAAAAGTCGCAGAGAGAGACCAGCTTTGTCGAGTTTGCACCAATAGAGCTCAGTAACCGCGGAGGAATGCGGTTGCCCTGATAAGTTTGACAATCTAAGCCGAACGCATGTACACCCGGACAAGTTTGCAAAAGCGTTTCTCGATGGTAAGAACCGATTTCGAGTCTGACTATCGACTTGTGATCTGACGAGTCGTAATTTTGAAAAGTCCGGGTAGTCACGTGAAAAAAAGATGCGTTTTGCTTGCCAAGGAGGAGCCTTTCGACGCGTCTCAAGATTAACGCTCTCTGTGTCCAAAAAAGCCGCACGTACCGGTCAGGGTATTATTACACTGGAAATTGGAAATAAAAGTGCGCTCGCGAGGTGTTGCGTGATCGCAAGCGGGACGTTTTAAATTAATTAAGTTTTTCCCCCGATGCGTGTGTTTGAGGAAAGCGAGCAAGTGCTCTTAGAGAATGATGTCCCTTTTTTGGCGAATCGAGTGCTCCGAGCCGAGTGACGCAACGTTAAACGCGTAACTTTTCTCGAGAGGTGTTATTCAATACTTACTCGTATCTCGCGGTAATGTAACAGAAATAATAGCAGCTCAACGGGACACGGGGCGATCGGAGATAAATTTTTTTGCCGCTATTTTGCGTTTTGTGAACCCAAGGAAAATTGGTGCTTGTAGATGTTTCCATCACCGATTAGCTCGTAATTTACGCGCGTGAAAACAATTTGGTTGCATAAGTTGCCTATGCGATCAAACTCAGAAATTGATTTAAAAAATTTCAAGCTGAGACCTTGATAAACAAAATCTATTTGTCTGCATGAAGATAGTAAGGAAATCCCTGCGATTGATACCTCGTTACTGGCACAACTGATTAAAATTTCATTACTCCCCAATTAATTGTATACACCTTACTCGGTAGAAAATATTTTAAAATTTCTTCAGATGCGCGTTGCAATATCCTCTAAACAGGGGTGTAACCATTCCCGGCTTCAATTTTCATTCGCTGTGGTGCGCGTCGTATTAAAAAAATTTTCCCAAGAATGGCTCGTTAATTTGCAACAATAACTGATCTTAAACAACAACAGACGTGGGACCCACGTGCCATTGTGCGGCCTTTCCATTGTAACACCCCTAGCCCGAGCAACAGGGGAAGGAAGATTATAAAAATTAACCGCGTCCCTGAAATCGCCGTTCAAACACTCGAGGCGTTTCAAAACGTACGTGTACACGTGGAACCTACTTTTGCCACTCCAAGACTATGTACACGCGTTAGAGCCGAAGACGCAAAAGTAAATTGAAGGGAAGGCTAGAGGTTGAAAGGAGAGACTAATTAAGACGTACGAGAAGGTGAAACACCATGACGCTCCTTCGGCACGAATTATTGCGAAAAATGTAACACTCGACGTTTTGAGAATAAAAAAAAAAAATTTAATGAAGATAATAACGATGTAGGACAGAGAGAGAGGATTTTGCAATTGACGCTGCGTTGCGTTAGTTTGTGATCGAAGTGGAGCGAGTAAGTATATATACTTTCCACCAGTGCGAGACGTGGATTAATTTGTTACTCGTCCCATTTCAATGCGAACCATATATAATTTTATAACTTAAAAAAAAGGATGAGCCAAAGACCGTCAAAGCGTGAGTCTCGGAAAAAGGAGCTGTCAACCATCCATCAATTTTTGGGAGAAAACATATGGTGTTTTAACGAGTGAAAATGATTTCAGATGGCCGAGTGTTCGTGTCTCACGTGGGCTACGCGGGTGTGCCGTCCCGCCTGAGCATCGTGACGGGCCTAAAGTCCGAGAGCTCGGGCCCACTTTTATCGCCGTATCCAGACTGGTCGTGGCACGCTCGGGGCGATTGCAGCGGCGTAACCAGCGTCTACGGTCTTGCCGTAAGTGTACCGCCTTATCTCGTTTTGTATTTTCATTTTGGTTCCCTGATGCCTTTTTTTGCACTTTACCCTCTCTCGAGCCTCGAGGTATTTCTTTTTTTTTTTTTTTTTTTTTTTTTTTTCATGCTCCTTTTCTTGTCTCTTTGTCTTTGCCGCTGGTAGTGCCTGCAAGCAAGCTTGTACGCAGTACACGTGTGCCGGGTGACTGTTCTGGGTGAGTGAATGTGGGATTTATGCGTGTGTACACGCAGAGCGTATTTCACGAGGCGATTTTGAGAAACGAGTTTTCTGGTCTTGTTACGCTTGCTGATTGATTGATTAATTGTTTTTTTTTTTTTCGTAATTTCTATAGACAAGATTTTTTTCTTTTAACCTGAACACTTTAATTTGAATATTTTGTTGAAAGTTGAATTACCTAGTAAGATTTTTAGGGGATTCAAAACATTGAAACGAATCGTTGATCCTTAAAAAAATTTATAGGTATCAAATTTAAGATAATTGATTACACATCACTACATTTTTACTAGGTCTGTGCAAGGCTTACTTCACAACCAGACGAGATTATCCCGAAAGAAAAAAATATTGTCTTGTCTTTAGAATTGCATGTCAAGTGCAATATGAATGTTCTGAAATTCTTATGAAAAGATACACAGAAGTTCTTAAGCTGTAAATCTTTTTAGCACTAGCTCACGTTTTTCATGATTTCTGCGTAAGAACTTGTTCGTACATGTAAACTTACGTACAACCAATTATTTGTACTACTATAAAAGCTTATTGAAAAAGTGCACTTTGCGTATAATTTTACAATATATTTATTCCCTTATGTGGAGCTTCACTCCCTCTGGGGTATACATCCTAATAAACACGTCAAATGAAAACTCTGGTTGTATCAATGATTGTTTTGAGGTATCAGGAAATCTGACACCTCAGAACTCTCCGAGTAATTGGACTAAGCTTAGGTGTTTTTGAAATTTTCTGGAGATACGATAGGACACAGAAAAAAAAATATTTCAAGTTAAAAAATAAAAAGAAAAAATCGAACACTGACTCTAAGTTTTTCTCTTTATGATAAAAAAAAAAAAAAAAAAAAAGGTATAAAAAAAAAGATAGGGAACCCTATACACATGTTAACAGCCAAGCAAAAAATAGTCAGCTTAGAAAAATTTGATTTCGACAGATCGATCAATGCAACAGGTTGTGGGTTTTAGATACGGGCATCGTAGAGCAGAATAGCTCGGCGAGAGCCTGCCAAGCCCAGCTGCTGGCGTTCGACCTCACGAGGGATAAGCTCGCCAAGAGGATCAAGATACCGAATCACATTGCTCAGAATGATCAGGGTATGACGCGGCTAGTCAAGCCGATCGTCGAGACCAAGGGCCAGCAATGTGACCACACGACCGTAAGATCTCTATTTCCTGATCCCTTTTTTTTTTTTTTTTTTTTCATCCATACCCTATATCCATATACATCAGCCGATATTATCAGAAAATTACGCAATAACATGAATGCCAAGCACAGCTGTTTTTAATACTTTCTTATCACCTTTCTCAAGTTTAAGGTTACATGCTTTGATCGATTATAAATCACACACCCATGTGATGTATACAAAGCAATTCGTATTACGTCGATACTAATCACATTACGCACATCACTCTTGAAATCATTAATCATTAAAATTTAACGCGTGTTGAGATAAAAGTACAAAATAAATCATCTCGTTGTCATTCGTACTAAATGAGGGCCTTATCAGTATACATGCAAGGTATGAAGAAAAAAATATATATATAATTAGTATCGTTACAGCTGATATTTTCATTTTTATCATTATCATCATAATTTTTATCATCATCACATCTTGATTGTTATTCGTTATCATAATACTTACCGTAATAATTATCATCATCAATGAAAATTCCAATAATAGACAAACTTCTCCTAGACCACATTCGTTAATCGGTTTTTTTTTATTCCGATAAACTGCACTGTGAGAAACACAATATTAATCCACATATGATTACTCATGAGAATCTTGGCAGTATTTACAGATTCGAACAGCTTGTAAAACCACAAGCTTGTCAGTTCCAGATTTATAGCTAAGACATATTTTTTTTTTTTCCATTGAACCGGTCGTCCAATTAATATCCAATTCGCAAGGTATACATTATATACACACATACGTATATCTATTCATCAGGGCGTATACAGCCCCAAGAGATCGTTATGTATTTCCAGTCTTTCGAAAGATCCATTGTTAGTCGGCTAGCATCACATTTATACGCGATTGTTGTGTACCTCCATTTGTGGCACACTCAGTGCGTGTACCTATATATAATATACACGCGCAGACGTCAATCATTATTATAACGGGAAAGCAACAATAGTGGATGTACAATTATCAACTAAACACGAACCATACCGTTCTCATTCGCTTTACTCTCGTTTAATCGTACGTATAATGTGTACGTACAACTGTCGAACTACACCACAAGAAACAAACTGCAAGCAAATATGATAGAGTCCTCGGCGTTTCAATGGTATACCTTGTGACAAAATTCCAAAGGATAGCGAGAAAAATAGATCCTTTTGTTTCAAAAGTCTTTCAAGCAACATCTATATTATACTTGAGCCATGCGAAGCAAACGGGAGGTGCTTTGTAACCAGAAACCGTGGTAAGAGCCGTCTGGAATGGCTTGAGCTATCTCGTTGGGTTGTATCGTGGTCTTCTGTTGCACTAAATGCTCTATACCAGTGTAGGGTGCACTTGCTCTCTCGTTTAAATCGTCACGGGATTAGACGGGTATCTCCTCCGTGCGACCTCGTGTTGCCGTGTTTCGTTCGTTTTTGCCTCTTTGAGATTAGCAATATCATGTACCTCTTTGTACACCGCACTACACGTGTTTATTGCTACGGGAATTGAATTACACGTGTTATACGTACGAGCAAACAACTCAATGGATCGTATAAAGAATGTTGTTATTAAGGAAGAAAAAATCGATTCACTACTTTCCAAGATTCATCAGTTCTTTGAACAGTTACATAGAATATTCTAGAACTGACTTTTAAAAGACATTTAAATTTGATTACATAAAGATTGCTGTAATTGTTCCAAGATATCAGACATTATCCTGTCGACGAACGTAGAGTTACTAAGAATGTGTTTTCAATACATGTCTGAAATTTTACGAGTAGCTTATAGTATTTATTGTAAACCTCCCAATGTTTTATTAACAATATATATATATATATATATATATATATACCATCAACAACGCGGTACGTTGCTGTGCAATTTTGCAACTTGAATCATCACTGCAAACATTGGTCCCTTCAAACACACGGGCAGAGATAATCCGTTCAAAGTAAAGTTCCCATCGTAAAACCGAGACGCCACGAAGAGCCGTCGATAAAGTGACGTCGCGCACCCGCAGGGAGAGGAAATATTTTCACCACTCGATAGGTATATCCACGAGGAACTTTCTCATATTTCTTTGCTAATGTATATATAATATATGTTTCACACGTGGCGCACGTGCTTCCGCATCGCGCTGAAACAACAGTCACCCATATTAGGTACGCGGGAGCTCTTCTTTCCCTCCCCCTCTTGCGGCTCACAGCTACGTAACAACTCTCCATTGAAATATCAATGCCACTTTACCACAATCCCACTCGATGCCACTCGAAAATATAATTACTTTACGAAACAAAACCACGTGTATGATTAACACAACGTAATCATCATCCTCCGGTGCCCACGCGCATCACACGCGATACAATATTGTATGTAACACAAACAAATCATCATGACGGAAAACCCCAATGATTTCCCTGACACGTAACTCCGATTCCCGTACACTCGCAACCAAGAGAGTAGTGCCTCTTTGATGTAATCTGGTAAATTTCAAGGTGTACATGACGGACTCGGTGGGCCACGGGCTGGTCATTTGGAACGGCATCGGGTTGTTCCGGCTCGAGGGCGAGGTGTACAACCCCATTGACTCGGCGCGCAACGTGACGATCAACAACGCCAGCCTGAGCGTTGGTGGCGGGGTAGCCGACATGTCCCTGTCGCCCAACATATTCCCGTACGAGCCCCGCTACCTGTTCTTCCGGCCCTTGGCCTCGTACGACCTCTACGCGGCCAACACGCGCGAGCTCACCCGCAGCCTGTACGGCTACCGCATCAAGTACTTCGGGGCCCGGGACATCCTGAGCAGCCAAGCCGTCGGCCAGGCCTTCTCCTCGGACGGCACGCTCTTCCTCGGTCTGACCACCGACACGGCCATTGCGTGCTGGAACAGGTACCGGGAACTCGCCAAGGAGAACATTGTGAGTTTCTTGCCTTGTTTTTCGCTCCACCCATCCTCCCTTCCTTCCTTCCACGCGTGTGTACACGTGACGCAACGGGATTTATGGGCCATTGTCTTCTCGATTGGCGGCTCTGGCTTTTTTTCTTTGCAGCTTGTGTTGCTCCGTCCTTTTTTCCTCTAGCCCCTCGATGCTGTGCATCTATAAATAATGCGGGGGAGGAGGGGGCATGGGTGTTATGTAAAGTCCGTGAGCGCGGGTAAAGTCACACGAGGAGGGGGATGCGGCCCAAGTGCGCGACTCCTTCCTGGTTCGACGGGAGACGCTCTTCTCTCGCGTGCTCGTGTCTTGTGTATTGTTGTCGGGCAGATGTTTCTCGAGTTCGCGCCGTGTGAGTTTCGCATTGGCGTTTCGTACGTGAGCGTTGGTCGGATTGTTTGTTTTTTCGGTTGCATCGTGCCGATTACGCGTCGATCGGACCTAACGTGTTTGGGTGGATTAATGGAGCGGTGGGTTATACAATCGTTGGATCGACTGAGACGTGTAGTAACGTCTATGAAGAAGTTACGGGTGAAATTTAAATAAATGTTTTTGCTCTTCAAGCTTTTCATATGATGCAATGACATGAGGTTGGCCGTCTAAGATAATTTTTTGATAATTTTTTGGTGTCACAAAAATCAAAGATTGGTGTTCCTTGATTGAAACCATGGCATTCCGTATAAGACTATAATTTGGTTTAAAGATAATATCCACTACACGATTATTGTCAAAAAGATTTTTAACTATTTGTAAATACCAATAGTCTTTTCTGAGATAAAAATCAAGGGTGTCGCAGTGTCAGCCCTAACTGGTCCAAACTAGAAAATGATCACCCACAAGGGTGGGTTGTGATTTTTTTTTTTCTTTCGAAATTTCGGTTCATGCTATCTCATGATTATCCAAAGAATCCCTCATTCCTGTATTGAAATATACATAGTAGGTAAACAATTTATTCGCCATGTAGGAGATAGTGGCTCAGGACAAGGAGCGGCTACAGTACCCTAGTGGCGTGAAGATCGTGCCAAAGACCATAACAAAGTCGTCGGAGGAGCTGTGGGTATTGACGAACCGATTCCTGGCCTTCCAGCTTGGCACTCTGGACTTTGCCGACGTGAATTTCCGCATTATGAAGAGCCCCGTGAAGGATCTCGTCGAGGGCACGAGGTGCGAGCTGCCGGCGCAGCTGCAAGCCGCTCTGCGCCGGACGAAAGTCAGCATGTACAAATATCCCAAGTGATCCGTCGGCGAGCAAAGCACCATAGGAGGTAAACACTTGGTAGTTTAATTTTTTCTATGTATGTATGTATTTTTTTTTTTTTTTTTCATAGTTTATACTTGTACCACGTGTATTTCGTAGCTGTAAGGATCGTCGATAATTATTTTACACGACTCTTAAGTTAATTGTGATATGCTATTTCGCGCGTCTTCGCCTATCATCGAGATTATCAATCAGTGCTCATATATACATGTATTTGTCAAACGAGAAACGATGTACGTGGATTTTACACAATTTATTATTTTTTATCATCAATGTACGTGTTCATAATAAATTATGCACAACCCGGATATTGTCAGAAGCTTTTTTTCCCTGCAACCATACTGTGTGTGAACCACTACCATTGATTCCTCAATATACGAACAAAATTTATCTCATTTAGATAGAAAGTCAAAATAAATATTAATTTGTTCATGGGGTGTAAAATAAGCACGATTACCCGTTATTTGAATCTCAACTATCATCAAGCAGGAGACGATGATCACTCGGATCGACCATAAGATAGTTTAATCCGAAAATCCAAAAGCTCAACCATGGAGGACGGTAAGTACACGGTAATGGGTTCTTCAATCACCAACTGGCAAAAGTTGACGACTAATCCTGGATCCTTCTGTCTCTCGCCCCAATTATAACACTCTCAGCTTGGAAATCATTCATCCCATGTACGCACGAAGCGACGAAGAGAAATAGCTTAGAAATCAGACAGGCGCATTAATCTTTGAAAATTTTGCTACGAGAATCAACTGATACCTATATCCTGCGAATATATACACACGAATGCACTGACATACCGAGTTGTGAAACCCAAACTTGTCATGTACGCGTAACCAGCTATCCCATATTCTATACACGTCCGTCTTTTGCTCGATTTTCATCGTCGAAAGAGTTTACTTCTACTCTCTCTCTCTCTCTCTCTTTATATATATATTTGTAGGCAGGTGGTGATGTCGACGTGTACACCGAAACGTTAGAAAGTTTTTCAATCCCATAAGCGAAAACGCGCTGTGACTAATATGGCAAGGAGTACCGGGCTTTCGCAACTAATTCTCTCTATTTCTGGGTATGGTGGCATGGTGCAGAGTTTTAGTACATACAACAGTACAATTTTTACCATAAAAAATTCTCCACGCTCGGCAAGGTATGTGTATGTGTGTGAGAATTTCGTAGAAAGTAAAAACTAAGAGCTCAGATGGTCATAAGTACCATGCCTGAGTAATTTTGTTACTTAATTATTTTCACAATTTCCCTCAAACTGAAGAATAATAGTCCATTTTTAGATGGAGTGTGAACATTTGTTATTATTGAACCAAAGCATGACTTTCAAAGTAAAATTTTCTGGTACGAGAAGTACTTCGTGGTGCCTAAGACTATATCCTTTGACCTTTCCGGGCTCGATCAATTCATTCGCATTTGTTGGTCAGGGATGAACGCCAATAGCTGCTCCCCATTTCCTTTCTCAATCAGTTTAAAAGGTTATGAATCGATTGTTTTGAGTTTCAAGTTGATCCACGTGGGGAAGAATACCGTTGAATACAGGAGCGAGCCACAATTTTATATATATGTTACTACTCGGTAAGTTACTTTACCACTGTCGTTTGAGCTGGAATCTTCTCACTGATTGTGGTCACTTACCCATAAGTAACTCCACCTTCGGTTCCCAATCAATGACAATTGAACTGTTACAATTTACCGGAACCAGATAACCAAAAGAGTCAACGACCTATTTTTCAAAATGGATATAACAAAAATAAAATTATCAATAATTATACTCAAATCGATACTCGTAAAGGCCTGAGTTTGCGTGCAATGAAACCGACCAGAGAATAAATCAACGATACACAAGTCAGCGATAAGAAGAACAGTGGTTCGCAGGACAGGTTGGCAATACGATCGGATCATCAGCAGCCCCAGCGCGTGCAGCAATAACGCATCAACACTAGGGTGTGGAACGGTGGTGGGGTATTACCAGACGGGGAAAAAGATGGGCTGCCTACAGCTCCAGTGTATAACAACGTCTAGCCGGTATCTTCTTCCACCACCACCACTGTACCGCTGCTTCTTACGTGCATACGTACACTTTGGGCTGGTGTATATTCTTCGGATCGTATGCAAATTCTCTGGCGGCTTAATTACGCGAACACGCCTACCCACCACACAGTGGTGGTGATGATGGTGGCGTACGAGATGGAGAGGGACAGCTGTAGAGGCAGCGAAACCTGATATGTATATATATTTTATGGTGATAAGAAGAAGAAGAACGGAATGGCCCCCACAAGGAAAGGAGGAGCTGCAGGTGATTCGCACCCTTACACGATGTTGTTGCCTCTATCCTTGTATATTATTAGAACCCTGGAGTTTATGTATATGGATACTTTGTCGTTGTATATGTGTAAAAAGGGGGTGACTACAAACACTTGTAACAATTTGAAGATTTTACTGCATCACCAATAGTCATTAGTCACACATTTGAAAGTACTGGAAGTAGAGAGAAATCTTGTAAGCCAGTAGTGCTTTTGAAGAGAAAGGAGAGATTCGTAAATGTCACCACTAGAATGTATCCATACCAAATGAATCGGACATCTACGTAATAGTAGCTCAAAGTATTTTACGTCCAAACATCCCCCAAGGCCATTTATGTGAATTAGGGTGCATTAGCTCCTTTCAAAACAGAGAAATTGCCATAAACAGAGAAATTTACGATGCCATAAGTACAATGCGCAAAAGGAAGCGAAAATCCCTACACCGCAAGATTAGTTCATTAATTAAGTCGCAAAAAGTCGAATTATTGTAATGATATAACATTTCTTTTAAACGATAAATAAAGTGACTAGGAATATTTAAGAGAATAGAATTTTCAAGTGGTGAGTTACGTATAGAATTTATTGCGGGCGTCGTTGAGTTTGCCAAACTGTGTGTTTTTCCCTTATACGAGCAAACCATACAAGAGGACGAATGACATACTTTGTCAATTTTAATTGTCGTTGTTGGTGCTTCTACTGGTAATGATTTAGAAAATGAATAGCTTTCTGTTGTAAAAGTATGTGGAGAGACAGTCTTGTATAATTGTATGTTGTCGCGTGGCTGATGTCTAACTCCACACTATATACGGTTGGTGTGCTTTTTTCTTTTTTCTTTTTCACGTCATGGTAACATCTAAAGGTACTAAATATTTTATGCTAACGTATTGGTTCGCAAGAAAAGCACAAGCGTGGACTCGAGATTGCGAAAAACTTGGTGACTTATTTGGAAATCAGCTCTTTTTTAGCCACGTTTCCGATCGGAGAAAGACGGCATTTTTTTCTCACGTAAGAGGGGAAAGAGCAAAAAAAAAGGAAATCGCTCTGGGTACCGTGTGGGCGCTACGCGGTCTTATTTAACAGGTGCACGGTGACATAACCATACTGCGAGTACCCCCCATAATTAGCAGAAAAACGCTTAAAGGGGCACAACGCGTTCAAGTACAAACAGGCCGGCGGTACTTTCACATCATACATTCGTCACTTGATGATTGGAAGAATCATCTCGAAGAAAACCTCTTGGACTTTCCGCTTTTGGTTACGTATGTTCACTTCAAGAGTTCGTGTAAGTACGGTATATGCGCGTCCAATGTCAAATTACATTTTTTTTAGTTTGATTTGAAAATAATTTATTTAGTTTAAATTAATACTCGTTAATGAAAAATTCTTCTGAGCACAACTTTCATTGCAATAGAGTTGTCAAGTGACAGACCCAGCAATGCACCTTACCATGAATCCATACCTTGTGTGCTTTAAATTTCTATCTATATAAAACTATTCTTGGTACCTTCTAGAATACGAAATACAGTATTTCAGTATTTTTATTAACACTTATACTTTGTTTATGTGCAATTTCAACCTACCAAGTAAAGTTACTTGTCCTTTCCTACCCGACAATGCCATTGTATTGCATCTAAGAAATTAAACACCAAGTCCAAAACTGCATCACATGTTTTTGATTTTTTTCCTTCTTGGGTTAAGGAAAGCCAAAGATTGGAGGTAATATAATATATGAAAATACCTAAAAAGAGAAAAGTGGTGAGGAAGGAAGGAGAGAGAGAGATAGGTGGCAGTTACACTCGTACACGCCCAGGATCCCGCATTAACGAGTTGTATTCGGTGTCAGTGAGGCGGGAGTGAAGAGAGATCGGTGGGAGAAATTCGCGTGCGATCTCACGTGTCGATGCGACATAAGAGATAGCAGCGTGGCGAGGAGAGAAAAAGAGAGAAAGAGAGGATGGGCCCGCGAGAAGCGTGTATTCTCGTACGGTCGTTGCTGTGGCAAGTTGTAGGGCTGCGGCAAGGTACAAAAATTACATTTTTTTCGCTGTATCGTTGTTCGAAAATTGCATGCACTTTTTCTGATTCTTACCATCGTATTGTAATTTCTCAACTTGATGGGATGGAGCGTTTGTTATGGGCACGCTGGTAATTCAAGATTTATGCACGGGAAAGAAACGGTTAAAATTTGAATTTCATTTTAAAGGAAGCCTTCGAAATATTTTATTAAAAATATCAATGATAACTGTGTTTAATATTCAATTACATACGAATTTATCTTTTCTCGAAATAAAATAAAATAAAAATTGAAAAAGAGAAACCTATAAAGTGTTTTATATTAAATTTTCACTAAAGATCCAATTTATATGGTAACTTGACATGTTTGCATCGTTGCGGTTTTATTGTACATTGATAAAATGAAATTTCATAAATAATCTTTGAGGTTTCCGAAACAATATATATTTTCGTACATTCTGTTCAGAAACTTCATTTATAAAAAAAGATATAAATCAGGTGAGTGAGAATTGAATCGTTAACTAAATCATGCGAATCATATCGTACCACTCGTGTGCTCATCTCTCCTTTTCTCTCTCATCCCCTCTTTTTCTGTTCACTGCACGGAGCCTTCGTATAAGAAAATAAATTGATTGATTGATATAAAAT